AGTTGGTGACTTGATCTTTAAGGATTTGATTCAAGGGTGGTAAATCAGCACGTGCAGCCCACAACGCCTAGCAAGTTGACTCAAGAATTTGAGGGTCAAAATGAGTCCTCCACCCAAAGTGATCGCAACCCTGATGATATGCGATACTTTTGATTTTGAAGAAGTAGCGGATGAATCGACACGTGTTTTGTTGTGCTTGTCTCCACATGCTTTAATGTATCATTTTCCATTCCTTAAATGTTCTCCAGGCAAATGTGGCATCTTCTCGAGTTCCTCAGCTCAGACTCTTTCTGCTGAGTTGAGTGTGCAGGCTGCAAGTTGAGTGTACAGGCTGCATTCTTCTCTACTTGTTTCTTCTGCACGTTGTCTCCACATGCTGCAAGGTATCATTTTCACTTGTCTTATCTGTTTTCCAGGAAGATGTGGCAGCTTCTTTGGAAGTACAGCAGTAGTGGAAGACGAGTACTTGAGAGCAATGCCAGGTAAGCAACCAGGCAAAAGTTCCAGGTAGTCGATTCCTTACCCGAGTTTGAGTGGAGGTTTCGGCATATTGTTTTCTTTATCCTTGTCTTTGTAGGTAAGAACAAGGACAAAGGAAAGGACATGGAGAAAGCATGATATGAGATACTCTTGCTTTCTACCCTGGTGATATGAGATACTTTTGCTTTGGTGTCATTTGCTTGCAAAGGTCCCCCAAGGAATAAGGAACACTGAGTGACTCGAGAGGGTTTGTTGGAAATGCATTCTCAGAGATGAAGAAAGGTTGAGTATGTCTGCCTTGCTATGGAGGGTGAATGTGGACAGTTATAAGAAGTTCTTTAATACCTGTAGATGTACTATTCTTTCACTCATGTCGGCAACCGTTGAGTGATTGATCAGTATGGCTTCACGTGCTTTTCTTTTTCATCAGAAATCTTTGACAAATTGTCCGTAATTTTCGCCAAGCTGAGTGTGCATGTGACATGTGTTGACGAGGCTGAAAAAGACTGGCGCCTCTTCGATATCTGGGATTGGTGCTTCGACAAACTGCCCGTGATTTTCGCAAAGCTGAGTGTGCATGTGACAGATGGTGACACGTCTGGAAAAGCAGATGCCTTTCCGATTTCTGAGTTTGCCTCTTCGAGTTCTGAGCTCCGTCGAGTGCAGAGGTTGCATGTGACAAGTGCGGACAAATCTGGAAATGAAGATTGGCCCATGTTTTCTGAGAAAGCCCAGCTTTTGAAAAAGCTAGCACTTCTTCGATTTTTGAATTGGCCTCTTCGAATTTTGAGCTCACCTCTTCGATCTCTGAAATCCCATTGAGTGCTGATTTTTTATAGAGGCACGCAGTTTGTTTCAAAGCACACTTGAATTTTTTTGCTTGTAGAAACTCCCTTCTTGCACTTCTAAGATCTTGATTTGTCCGACCTCTTCTTTCTTCAACACCTTTGAAAATGTCTGGCCCTTCCGACCGTCGTTTTGACTTGAACCTTAGTGAAGAGGCAGTCCCGCCTTCTCCAGACAATATATGGCGCTCATCATTCATATCCCCTACTAGTCCTCTTACTGTTGGGGATTCGGTGATGAAGAATGATATGACCGCTGCGGTGGTGGCCCAGAACCTTGTCACTCCCAAAGATAACAGACTACTTTCCAAACAGTCTGATAAGTTGGCTGTTAAGGATTCTCTGGCTCTCAGTGTGCAGTGTGCAGGTTCTGTGTCTAATATGGCCCAACGTCTATTTGCTCGAACTCGTCAAGTTGAATCATTAGCGGCCGAAGTGATGAGTCTCAAACAGGAGATTAGAGGGCTCAAGCATGAGAATAAACAGTTGCACATGCTCAGACATAACTATGCTACAAACATGAAGAGGAAGATTGACCAGTTGCATGAATCTGATGGTCAGATTTTACTTGATCATCAGAGGTTTGTGAGTTTGTTCCAACAACATTTGCCTTCGTCTTCTGGGGCTGTACCGCGTAATGAAGCTCCAAATGATCAACCTCCGGCTCTTCTTTTTCCCGGAGTTCCGCCAAGTGATGAGGCGCCATATGATCAATGAAGGCTCCTTATATTTGCTACTTGCACATTTGTAAAAAAAATTTGTTTGCATGTAGAATGCAATTTTATGTAATCTTTCCAGAGAAATAAATAAAATGGACTTTACTTCTCTCAATGCATTTTTTTTTTCAACCATCTTCTGCTTTTGTGTTAGACATCCCTATTTCCATTATTGCCCTGTGTTGCCTTCAACAAAAGGCAAATCTTTGACAACTTGCACATACACACCACATCAAAAATTTATACTTTCTTATTTGCTTTCGGTGCCACTACCTTTCTTTACAATTATTATTTTTTTTTTTAATCATGCACCCACCCATTATTATTTTTATATATTATTATTATTTTTTCATATGGTGCAATCCGCACCATCCCACCTCCCTACTTTCTTTTGCTCCTTCTTTTCAAAATGGGCTGATGGTGATGATCCTTTATAAAAAAAAAAATTTTAATCATGCACCCACCCATTATTTTTTATATATTATTATTATTTTTTCATATGGTGCAATCTGCACCATCCCACCTCCCTACTTTCTTTTGCTCCTTCTTTTCAAAATGGGCTGATGGTGATGATCCTTTATAATTTTGTTTTTTTTTTACATGGTGCGGATTGCACCATATGAAAAAATAATAATAATATATAAAAAATAATGGGTGGGTGCATGATTTAAAAAAAAAAAAAAAAAAAAGGGTTTCAGGAATGGTGCACCGCACCATGTAAAAAAAAATTATAAAGGATCATCACCATCAACCCATTTTGAAAAGAAGGAGCAAAAGAAAGTAGGGAGGTGGGATGGTGTGGATTGCACCATATGAAAAAATAATAATAATATATAAAAAATAATGGGTGGGTGCATGATTAAAAAAAAAAATAATTATAAAGGATCATCACCATTAGCCCATTTTGAAAAAGAAGGAGCAAAAGAAAGTAGGGAGGTGGGATGGTGCGGATTGCACCATATGAAAAAATAATAATAATATATAAAAAATAATGGGAGGGTGCATGATTAAAAAAAAAAAAATTATAAGAGATCATCACCATCAGCCCATTTTGAAAAGGAGCAAAAGAAAGTAGGGAGGTGGGATGGTGCGGATTGCACCATATGAAAAAATAATAATAATATGTAAAAAAAATAATGGGTGGGTGCATGATTAAAAAAAAAAGAAAAAGTGAACACGAAAATTTCCTGAAAGAAAAGAGACAAGAACAACGTGCACAAAATAATATTTGTATTTGATGATTTTGGGTTAAAATCTCTCTTAAAATTTGATTATCTGATTCAATCTCCGTAAGCTGTTGATTTGTAGATGTGCGATTGATCCAAAGGGCCGTTGGGCTTGATCTAAGGATGAACGTTCTTCAAAGGCCGTGGGCTTGATCTTGAATGTGGATTTGAACGGATCTTCAAGGAGCCGTTGGGGCTTGATCTTGAGGATGAGCGTTTCTTCAAGGGTCGTTGAAACTTGATCTTGAATAACGGTGATGAACGGATCTTCAAGGGCTTTTGGGCTTGATCTTGAAGAACAGTGATGAACGGTTGGATGTATGGATTTGTCGACGTTGTTGATCCAAAGGGGCATTGGGGCTTGATCTTAGAATGAACGGATGATGAACGATGAACACTTTCTTCAAGGGCCGTTGGGGTTTGATCTTGAATTGGTGGAAGTTCTTCAAGGGCCTTTGAGGCTTGATCTTGAATTGGTGGAAGTTCTTCAAAGGGCCGTCGGGGCTTGATCTTGAAGGTGGATGATTGTTGATCCAAGAGCCGTCGGGGCTTGATCTGGGAAGAACGATGAACGAAGAACGACGAGGGCTTTCTTGATTCTTCGGGAACCTGGATGCTTGAGAGCTTCGGAGTTTCAGAGTTTCAGAGCTTCAAGGTTTTGGTGTAATATGAATTCCTCCCCTTAAATGAATGAAATTGGCTTCTATTTATAGAATTTTCCAATGCCTAATTTTGAATATAATATTCCAGATGAAATAAGTCATTTCTGCCAGGTGTTGACACGTGTCCTGTTTGATGACTTTTCCGACTCATTTCAATTTTTCATCGAATCACACGCTACGTGTAAAATTTATGTAATACATGAGCGTTGAAACTTTGATTTATCGGTCAACATTTATTTACCAAAATTTCGATGTCTACAATTACAAAATACCAAATGTCCAAAGATATGAAAATTGAAGGGAGTTGTGTTTCAAGATTGAGAAACCTTGCACGTTTTCATCAATCACCAAGGAAAATAGTATTGAAACTTTGGCTTGATATATTATCTTCAAAGGTTATATTGACGATATTTTCACTAACACTATGTTTGAAAGAAGAAATTTAAGATTACTAAGGAATTTTAAAATGACGAAAATTGAAATGACCAGATTTTATTTTCAAGAATTTGTAAATTTTCTTGTTTGGTTAATCTAAAAGAACAATGGAATTGAATATTGAATTTGTTATTTTTAAACTCTAAATCATAGAAATTGGGAAATGACACCTATTTACATGGAATTTGAACTTGGGAATTGAAGGTCCCAAATTCCAAGTTTTTTTTCCACGCGAAAATTCTAAATTTCTATGTTTATGAATTCAAACAAGGAAATTGGTGCATGTTAATTTATAAATTCTAATTTTTACCAAAATTTCAAGTTTATTTCTCTCATCCAAACATAGTGTAAAGCTTTCCACATTAGCACTCTCTTCCACATATTTCCACATTAGCCTCTCTTCCACATAAATTATGTATCAAAAACCAAACATTGTAAACCATTCAAATTACGGTTTTGCACTCAAATAATTGTTATTAATTTTGCACTCAAATAAAAATCATTGTTAATAATTGTAAACCATTCAAAACTGACCAAAAACCGTAAGTGTTAGCCCACCCTTTTTTTTTTTTTTTTTTTATGGAAAATAGAACCAAGGAACTAATGTAGGCCTAAGGTCAACAAAAATCAGGTCCGACGAGCTAAAAAATAAAAGTTGCTTTGTTTTACTAGTACAGTAACGTAGGCAAGTCACTGAAATAACAAGAGAAAAGAACCCTGCTTACTGCCATAAATTCCAAGCCAAACGCAGGCAAGTCGCTAATCGAATTGGAAGGTCCTAAAACGGCAAACTCTTTCACCGATTTGTTCAGTATCATCGGGAATCTGGATCACACACACTACTCAAATTGCAAGACTTACTGCTACCTACTAAGAAACAACACTTGATATCTATGAACATGCAGCTCGCTTAACGGCAATCCTACAATTCTGAACTATTGAGTAAGTTTACTGGTATTGCTACTACTCTAATTCAAGAAACGGAGACAAACCTCAACCGCATCTGTCGGAGAAATGGAAAACGTCTAGGTAGTTAAACACACATCTGAAAAGCATAACAACGAAAGTTATATCAATCACAAGTTTCTACCACCCGAAACTCCCACGACAGGATGGCACATATCAAAGCATCATCCATTGCTCTAGACTCTGGACCAAACATTCACATTGACGGCGCAAACAAAGAACATGCAAGGCTATATAGCGAAAGGGGGCAATGAACACATAAGGCATCCAATGATTTGCTCCTAAACAATATATCCATGGAACCACAAAAGATGCAAAGGTTTAAGACAAATGCGGCGTCTCTCTCCAACTAAATTGCCGTTTGCAGCGTCTCTAAATCAGAAATACAAACGGGTTTAAACAAGATATAAAGCACCTACATGAACATGAAGTCCTTTGTGTATTGTGTTTGTGGGAATTGGATCCGCTCCAGACCTTAGTGTCCACAGCCTAGGGATCAATTCATCTGGGCCGCACAAATTGAATGCAACGGTCCCCATTAACTTATTTTCCTGGCCCACCACACAACCAACGGCTCTGATTTCTTTTACACACCAATCAGCGGCCCAAATGATTTGATCCCTAGGCTTCGGACACTAAGGTCCAAAGCGTATCCAATTCCGTGTTTGTGTACCATGTGAGAAGACCGAGGCATTAAACATGAGCAAACACTAACAGAAAATTTGAGTTAAAATAAATTATTTACATCCAGAAGAAAATGGGAAAACATGAAAACAAATATCAATTTCTTCTTCGAAACGACTACTAAGCTAATAACAAGCAAATAAAAGCAAGTAAATCAATTACAAATGCACCAAGGAAAAGTGAGGAAATGGCGATACCGATTTCAATCAATGAGAGATTGAATTATCTCCGCCAGAACTGGAAGCTCCAGCCGCGCTAACAGACACAGCTCGCTTCTTCCTCTCCTCCTCGTATTCCGGATCATCGGTTGGCAGCTCGAACCGGCAAACCGGGCAAGTATTTCTGGAACTCAGCCAAGGAACGATGCAATCGCCGTGGTAACCATGCCCACACGGCAGCTTCTTCGACATGTCACCAACATTCACCATGTCCTTGCATATGGCGCACACCACGGCCTCATCCTCTGCCGCAATCTTGACCGATGGTAACTCCGACACAGCATTCTTCCCCGCCGGTGGAGCCCCTCTCCTTCCAGCATTATCGCTCTCAGCCAAGGTCTGCAGCAAAGCCTCATAGCCGGCTGCGTCCACGTAATCCTCGGGATTGCCGATGTACCGGTCCGATTCGGGCATTTCGAGCCGGAATTCGATCGAATTGTCCTCCAGCCCCATCAAGATCTCGGCCCAATCCAGAATCCGGTTCCTCCCGCTGCTCGCTCGGGTTGCAATCTCTCGGATGTGGAGACGAAGCACGTCTCGACGATGTCGTCGCATGTCTTCTTCATCTCTCTCTTGCTGATCTTCCTGATTCTCTTCATCCTCGTTATCCGATCTATCTTCTTCTTCTTCCTCCTCCTCCTCCTCTTCTACTTCCTCTCCAGCTTCTTCGTTATCCTCGCCGTCGTGGTTGTGAAACTCGACACTGTGCGCATCTTCGTCGTCCTCGTCCTCGTCGTTGTCCCACCCCTCCATCTCAATCCTAAAGAAATCGTCATCAAGCGAGGGGTTTTCAGGCTGCGGCGGGGGCGCATCCTCCTCACGCGCCGCCTGAGCGATTAGCCTCAGCACCTGGAGAAATGGAGAGCCGAAAGTCGGGTCATCGACCTGATCGGACGATCGGGAAGGAGGATCCCACTGCGGATATGACGCGGCCGGGATGGATTCGACGAAACCATTCTTGCACTCGTGGCAAACGATGTCAGGGAGATTCGCCACGGTTTCGATGGAGACGCGTTTGTTGCAGTGGTAGCACCAGTACTCCATCGTCTCCGTCTCGGCCTCAGACGCAGATCGCGGCGGCGGCGGCGGCGTCTGGGATGGAGTTTCAGCCATAGGGTTTGGGTTTGGAATTAGAGGTCCGATACGGCCAATAAAGACCAAAAGAAAGACGAAGGAGCGGGGAAAGTGGGTGGGGGTTGCAGATTAGATTCTTGGGGACAAGTACGCCGAGAGTGCCAAAGGAGTGCTTCGGTGCTGCGAGGTGCTTGTTTCCCTTGCATTTGGTCCGTTGGATGAAACTTACAATTTGTTGATCTGTGGCGGAGAAAACATATCCTATGAGAGTATAAAGTTGTTGGTAATGCAATAACTAAATAATGATTGGGGATTTTTTTCCTTTCTTTTTTTTTTTGGCAAATTTTTTCTTTTCTTTTTATGGAGAGGATTTTTTCAATAACTAAATAAATAAGAAAGATTCCATTCCTTAGAAAACTAGATTATAATGAAGAAATTTGGACAAATACAAAAAGATTATAATAAAAAAAGTAATCTTACACAGGTCCTCAAATCTAAATGCCCCTATGAGATATTAGCATTTTAATATACTAGTCATGCACATCATGCTTCTTCTTTTTTTTGTATTTTCACGTTATACATTATAGGGTAAAGTACAAAAAACTACCTTAACTATTGGTCTTGTTGATGCACAAAACCAGAGAGGTTTTGGAACAACGTAAATCCGACCGTGAATCTGCAAGAAAGTAAATAACACAAGATGTATCGTGGTTCACCCCAATGTTTGGGCTACGTCCACACTGATATTGTGAGGGAGCTTCTGAGGGTGAGAGAGCTCTTCCCCTTGCCTAAGAATTGGCCTCTTCAAATAAGGAGGGTGAGGAGTCCTTTTATAGACTAAGGGCTCCTCACTTATTACATATTTGCCCCTTCATTTATTACATAATTACATTTGAGTCCTCCGAGTATTTATACGAGATTTAAATACGAAGGCCCTAAGTATGGTACAAACAGTAGTCCCCCAAGTCTTCAGCCAATAGAGTCTTTTGGCTGGAGATTTAAAATTCAGTTCATGTGTGGACCGAAATAACTAGATGTCGTCTACAACTGATACTCGATATGAGGCGGTGCTCAATCTAAAATGATGTTTAACTAGAAGTGGCACATGTTGCGAGACTGCTCAGTTTGTGGCTTATGTTGCCTTGATTAGCTCGGCTTATGGCGTTGAATGTGAGGGAATCCCTTTTATAGAATAAGGGCTCGCTCCTCAATACATAAGTGATGGGTTAGGAGTGATGCTCGTGGCGAGGCGGTTGCTCAGCTGGCGGTGATGCTCTCTAATGAAGGTGAAGGAGTCCTTTTTATAAAATAAGGGTTCGCTCCTCAGTACATGAATAATGGGTGCTCTCTAATGAAAGTGAGGGAGTCCTTTTTATAGAATAAGGGTTCGCTCCTCAATACATAAATAATGGGTTAAAGCTAGTATTTTTCATGAGGCCTAGTTGAGGTCTAATGTATGGTACATAATGTAATCCCCCAAGTCTTCGATCAATAGAGTATGTTGGCTGGAAACTTCAAATTGAATCCATATATGGGCCGAACTGGCGGTTGTTCGGAGACGGTATTTGTATACCCTGCACTGAAGCTTTGTAGGTGAAGTTTTGCAAGTGAAGCTTTGAAGCTGGAGCTTTTGTAAATGAAGCTTTTGAAGCTGAAGCTTTCGAAGCTAGAGCTTTGTAAATGAAGCTTTCGAAGCTGATTGACATGAGTGATGCTCATGAATGTTTATGTTGATTGACATGAGTGATGTTCATGGATGTTGACATGAGTGATGCTCATGAATGTTGACATGAATGATGTTCATGAATGTTTATGTATGATTGACATGAGTGACGCTCATGAATGTTTGACATGAGTGATGCTCATGTATAATTTTGGAGTATTGAACGTACTTTTGATCACCTGGTTGGTGATAATAGCGGCAGACTGCAGAATAATTTTGGAGCACTCGGCGTACTTTTGATCACCTGGTTGGTGATAATAGCGGCAGGCTGCCAAATAATTTTGGAGTACTGGGTGTACTTTTGATCACCTAGTTGGTGATAATAGTGGCAGGATGTCGAATAATTTTGAAGTACTGGGCGTACTTTTGATCACCTGGTTAGTGATAATAGCAGTAGACTGCCGAATAATTTTTTGTAATATTGGACGTACTTTTGATCACCTAATTGGTGATAATAGAAGGCCTGGCTCTTTTGGGCATATGGGTCTTCGCCCTCCACATAACATTACAGCCCATTATTTTGGGCTTACCCTTTTTTTTTTTAATTACCCTCTGATGTGGTTATACAAATGTCTCCGAAAGATAGAAAAATAAAACACATCATTCAAAAAATAAGAAAAGTAAATCACATCATTCTGGTGAGATGTTTATTCCTTGCTTTTGCAGTATCCCCATGTGCCTCCCTTTTGCTTTCTGCTTTTTCTCGGTTTTTTTTCTGCTTTGCTTTTGCTTTTGTTTTCCTGCTTTGCTTTTGCTTTCTCTCTGTTTTTCTTTCTTTTGGCAGATGGCAGACAAAAGAAATAATAATAGACTGATTATTAAGAAAGCTTATCTTCTTCTTCGATCTAGTGGTCGGTTTTCCATACTAGATGATGGGAGTTTTGGGAGGCAGCATCCATTGAGGAAGCAAAGGCGATGGTGAGGAGAGGTGAGACTCCGGCATTGGAGAGAATGCCTAGCCACACCGTGTAGTCGCATCAGAGATGAACTTCACAGCCTCGCTCTCACCTTGTGCCCGGATAATTGTAGCCCGCCTCTTCCTTCCCTGAAACCTTTCATTTGCAAACTCTCACCTGTCCGGATCAACCTTTCTGAACCCATAAGTGTTGAGCTGGAGAATGAAGCTTGAGAAATTGTTGTCCTTGAAGTGTTTGGGCAGCAGTCCTGGAGAATTCGTACAAGTCCTAAACAATGAAGTTCTGCCAAGCATCACTCCACGAAACGATCGAATCGGTTTATGGGTCGTCCACCATCTGAAATGTCTTGTTCAAGAAACAACCACAACATCTACAGTTTCTTCTTTCACCTTTAGCAATTCAGCCGCTGGGTTCAGCAGAGCGGTGGAGGAAGAGGAAGAGGATGACCTGGTCAAAGTTTATGCCTTTGGAAAAAGTCACCGCCTTTTCTTTTTTTTTTCAGTTCAGTCACTTATTCTTTGGCACAATAAAGCTCGTTCTTAGCTTCTTCTAGATCTTTGGCACAATCAAGCTCGTTCTGTCAACTGGGTTCTGCCTCATGAATGTCAACTGGGTTCTGATCATACCGTCGTCGTCACTGTCGACGCCGCCGATCATCTTCCGGCACTCGTCGATCGAACATTCGTCTCCCAAGCTCCGGAGCACTTTCGTACAATTCCTCTGCCTAAATATACCTGTTCTTATCAATGTCGTAGACGGAGAAAGTGTCTTTGAGATTTTCGAAGGCCTCTGCATAGTCGACCCCTTTAGTGTTGAACTCTTTAAAGTTTATGAAGCTGTCTCCGTCAGAATCGACCTTGGAGATCATGCTGTTTGAGCTCCTCGTCGGAAGACGGCTGCCCCAAGCTGCTCATGATGGCTCTAAGCTCGGAATACGAGATCTTTCCGTCGTCATTGACGTCGAATTTCTTGAAAACTTGGTTAAGCTCGGCGATCTAGGCACGCGAATGGAAGGGGGGTTCGCGAGTGGGCTGAAGCGGCGGCGGGGTGGGCAGTGATGGCGAATATCAGCTGGTCTGAGTTAGGGTGAGTTGGAACAGAGCCGAGTCCAACCGAGTTGAAGACTTTATCTTTACAGGGAAGTGGGTCGGGGAGGACTGAGCCCAGGTTTTTAAAACCAATACAGGAAAGTGGGATCAGGGACTTCTTGGGAAAACGTGGAAAAGTCAAGCAAATTTGTGAGGAAAAAATGGGCTCAAAGATAAAGGATGATAAAATTTCAGATTAAACCCAGAATATGTGGGTTTCTCAATGTGCATATATATAACCTAGCTCAGACGATGGTGGAGATCTGTGAATATGTGGGTGTGTCTCTGAGTGTGGGCATTGGGTTGTTTGCAGATTCACGGTGGATATTGTGGTGAGGTCTCACGGTGGTGAGATGAAAAAAATAAAAGAGAACCGACATAGCTTTTCGTGTCGATTCCTACAGACGGCGCCAAATGTTGATGCACAAAACAGGAGGAGTTTTGGAACAACGTAAATCCAGCCGTGAATCTACAAGAAAGTAAATAACACAAGATGTAGCGTGGTTCACCCCAATGTTTGGGCTGTGTCCACACTGATATTGTATTTCTCTGAGAGGATTGTGAGGGAGAGAGAGCTTCTGAGGGTGATAGAGCTCTTCCCCTTGCCTAAGAATTGGCATTTTCAAATGAGGAGAGTGATGAGTCATTTTATAGACTAAGGGCTCCTTACTTATTACATATTTGCCCTTTCATTTATTACATAATTACATTTGAGTCCTCAAAGTATTTATACGAGATCTAAATACGGAGGTCCTAGGTATGGTACAAACAGGTCTCACGACACTTTCATACCTCATTTTTTTAAATGACAATGTCATACCTCATCTTACGAATTTGTGCCAATGTCATACCTCCGTCAGTTTTTCTGTTAAGTGCTGACGTGGCTATATACGTGGCCACTCACTAATCCAACTGGATTAAAATATAATTAAATATATTTTTTAAAATTTAAAATTTTAAAAAAATTATATTAAATCTCTCTCTCCCTTCTCTTTCTTGCCTATATCTCTTCTTTGCATCCCTAAAACCCATTCCCACCCGTCCCCCTAACCTTCCTCCACCACCCTCTTTCTCTCGCATCTCTCTCTCCTTTCCACTGTAGTCTCCTTCCTCCCCACTTCTCTCTCTCGCCGTGCCCATAACCCCCCAAAACCCACCTGGATTTTTTCATCCGCCCTCCTTTCTCGGATCTACCTGCAAGCTCCGACCCGCTTCCCTCTCCCACTTCATTGCCCACGACCGATCTGTTGTCATTGCTGTCTCTGAAGCTGTTAAGGAGAAAGGGAGAGATGAAGAACTGTCAAGGTCGGGGCCGACGAGGTTGTCGTCTTCCCCTAACCCAAACCCAGATCCCACCCCAAACTAGCCACTCCCATTACCACCAGGTGCCTCTCTTCTCTTCCTCCGCCGTTCTCTCTATTTCTAACCTACAAGCATGCATAAAAAACAAAGCACCCACCAATCCTGAGAACACACCATTAACAAAAGTTCAAAAATCCATCTTCCAGTTTACCTCACTTTTCTAAGAAAATGGAACCTTCAAAATAAAAAAAAAATTCATTTCCTTTCTCCCACATTTTTCGAGCAACCAAACAAAGCAAAACCATTCAATTTTTCTCAGAAAAAAAAACCCAATTTGTATTCACAAGAGACTTGGCAGCGGTGGTGGGCGCTGGATTGCTGCTGTGTTTTGCTGGGCTTGAAGATGGTGCTGGGCTGCGGAAGCAGAGGGAGGTGGCAGAGGCGGTCCTCAACTTTTGCAAACCCGATGACGAAGTCGATTACTTGGCAATCATGGGGCGACAAGGTTGTCAAGATTTTGCAGAAGTATTCGAACCCATATGGGTAGTTTGGTAAGGAAGGGGATGAGATCAATGGAGGGAGTGGGTACCCGGAGAAAGGTAAGGTTGGTGTGCCAGAGATCGGCGACTTCGATGTCGTCAGTTAGAATGGGGAAGAAGGTGATGGTTATTGGTGGATGGAGTCGACGATGAATAGGAGAGAAGGGAAGGTGAGTGCGAGTTGCAGATGAGAGAAAGGTGGGTGGGGTTACAGATGAGAGAAAGGAGAAATGAGGTCGATGGGGAATAAATGGGGTGGATCGGATTTGGGGAAGACATGAGGGGGAAAGGGGGTGGGTCCCCATGTAAAAAAAATTAAATGATTTTAATTTTTTAGTTTTTAATATTTAATTAACTTTTTAATATTTAATTAATTTATTTAAGCCACGTCACTATTTAAGTAAAGCCACGTCAACACTTAACAGAGAAACTAACAAAAAAATTGACGGAGGTATGACATTGGCACAAATTCGTAAGATGAGATATGACATTGTCATTTTAAAAAGATGAGGTATGAAAGTGTCGTGAGACCAATAATTGAGGTAATTTTTTGTACTTTACCCTACATTATAATAAATGTTTTTTTTAACAAACGATATTATTTATAATAAAAGGGAGAGATGTGAGTTTAGTCTCACGATGACTAGCAATAGTGTAGTTCAATATACGAAAAACAAAACATCAACTCACAAACTGTCATGCCAAAAGTAGCGATTGACTTGATAATTTAGCAAATAGGAAGCAAGTGTAATATTTTTAAATTTATAAGATTTCTTTGTCAACCTATAAAATATATGGACTATTATGTTATTACTCCACAATGAGGTTTGTAACTTAAGTATTTTAGACTTTAGAGCATTGTTATCATTGTATTTGAAATTTTGCGTTTATCCGTCTTTGTGCTCAAAATCTCAAGTCAGATTTTCCCTTCTCAGGTAGCCAACATTGCTTTATATTGAGAAAATATAGTATCCTATCAATATCTTGGACGTTAAAATATCCTTTTTGAATAACCACTTTCACCGTTTTTTTTTTTTTTTGTCAAAGGTTACTTTATTACCACAACACAACTAATTACACAAATTGAAGCTCATATAAAATAACCACGCAAGCAAAAAAAAGAACCTCAATAGTAACTTAAATACCCAAAAACAATAAAAAACACTGAAACTAACCCTAACTGTTTTCTTTCAACAACACCGCCGAAAGCACCGATCACAAAAATGAGAGTGACTACACTTCATGATTAATAGGTTGACTATCCTCCACTAAGAACAACCATTTCAACAAAATTGTGTTCGGCGTTTGGTTCATTTTCATTAGCATGAGAACCAGAGTCTGCTAAGCATTCCATTTGGGTCCTTGAAATTTGATCAAACGATTGTAATTATTATAACTTTTAGAATGGTCATTGTTTGTAGCTGTTTGATCAGATTTCAAGGCCCTAGATGGGTTGCTCAGCAGGCTTCGGTCCCATGCTCAGGAGGGGATCCGGCTCCGTTCATTTCAGTTAGCAACCTAGCATGCCTTGCCTGCCAATATAGAACACGAAAAGACACCTTTTATACTGACATTAGGCTTCACCGGCCGGGGCATCGGTTCTTATAATATGAATGCATCGGTTTTTATTTTCGATATTTGATAATTTAACCTATTAACGCTATTATTTATTAAAAAATAAATAAAAAGACCCAATCTTCGTTAGCACACCCTCTGAACTCTTTTCAGTCAAAAGACACCGTTTGAACTTTAAATAATCAAAAGTGAGGCCAATTTATTTATAACACAAAATTGCTAAATATCATCACCTTGTCCGGAATAATTATTTATTTACAATCATATCCCTCGCTCCATCCAAAAAGCAAACCTCTGTATTGGCGTTAGTAGATTTACTAAATAAACAAGATACATACACACCAACGACCAAGAAAGAGAGATTTCACCCACCTCAATCTTTTCTTTTTCATTTCCCCCCCCCTGTTATTTATCAAATTTACGAAGAGCCTCCATAGCCGATTTGTTGCGGGAGCCTAAACCGGACGTCCGAAGCCGACGATCGGACGCGCACGCCGTGCCAGCAAATACCACCCTTGCACGTCTCATGAGCAACGGGAGGAGGATTGTCGTCGCGCGAAACTGCGTACGTGGCTTTACGGGAGACGTCCCACGCCAGAGTCAGGAACAGGATAAGGCACACCACGGAGGTGGAGAGGATTAACACAAAGGCACCACCGAAGCTCTGCCCAAACACCACCCCGTACGCCTTGATGGCGACGATGACCGCCACGTAAATCGTCGTCAAGTTCCTAACCACCGCGTCAGAAACCGCCATCTGCTGGGTCTGGGTGGGGCTCTGAGAATTTGAGGGACACTGATCAACTTAGCTCTTTGACCTCTCTTTGACAAGTCTAGGGTGGAGTGGCGGCTATTTAAAAGAAAAACTAAAGGGGTCCACAATTAAGTGATTTAATCAAAGGTTGCTTCTATTAACCGCTAATCTTGACTACTTTGGAGGAAATTATTGGAACTTTGGAGGGTTTTTTAAGTAAATAAATAAGGATCAATCTCATGTACATAGAGGTTAGGTCCGTTGATTAAAATTCCGCATCATCTTTTAACACTCAATTTAAATACTATCAGTTAAACGACAAATAATCAGTCACATGTAATTCTATGTTAAGTCAATTAATTATGACACTGCCTCATCTTCTAAACCCCATTATTCTTGTTTAGACCTAAGAATCCATCACACACAAAAATACGTCAAAGTCAGTTAATTAGAATATTGTACCATCTTCCTCCATTCGAATTTAATCATTAATTCAGTTGATTTGAGCAATTTAGAACACTGTCTCGTAAAAAAACAGTCTTGATGTTTCTATCTTGAGCTTATCTTTAGTTTTTGGGCGTTTCTTGAAAGGAGATCAATTTAATTATTAAGCTGGATGTATGTGTTTCTAGACTCGCGACTTGCGGTTGCTTGAAGTTTTCCCTTCTCACCAATTTAATTATTAAGTTGGATCAAAAAGTTGGATCAAATTGAGATGGTAAGGAGAATCTTAGCATGTGATCTTTCACCATACTCAAAACTCAATGACGATTTCAGAGCATTTAGTAAGTAGATGAGATATGTAAGTAGTCTTTCGTCATACTAAAAAGGCAATGATGGATATAGATATTTTTCTCCTCTGATAAGTATATGAAATATGCAAGTCAAAATAACGACCTATCGTGGCTCATCAAACGTCCAACTAATGAAGACTGTCAACGTAATAGACAATTTTACTTGCATCATTAGTGTAGAGTACATAAGAACGTATTAAACACTTTGTGGATCTATCAATGTTCACATGTTAATAAAAATCAAATGTAATTGGCCAAAACTGAAAATTGGATTCCAATTTGATCGATGGTCCTATGCCTTGTTCTAAAGTATGGTTGATGAGGCCAATCAGATGCAACGAATTGAAGCTTCATGATCGATGAAACGATATAAATCTCGAAAGGCATAAAAGGCAGCCAAGATTTGAGATCTAATGGCTCAAAAGCATTGCATCTACATCGGATTCAATTTCATAAAATATTAACCAATTAAATTTAAAGCCTAGGTTAGTGTGTGGGGGCAATTTGGCAATGGCCTCATTCGTTGAGCTAATTAGAAATAAGCCCCAACTAGCCTAAAGGCGTAAAAGAAACTTTGGCGTAACGCGAAAGCATACGTATTTTTTGTAAAGATAATGTAGGGCTGGAATTATTTTAATTAAGAAAGAACTTAGCTACTGAAAAAAATTAATCACTTAAACATGTGTCTATATGTGATTGGTGAGCAGCAGGAACTGCTATTGATTTTTCAGCAGCCAAGTTCCATTCATTTAATTAAACAATGACTAAGTTTTTTATTATTTGATAAAACATAAAAGCTGTTTTATTGTGTCTCATAAATATTTGGCTAAACTTTTGTATTGTATTTGATTATGTTTTTCTTAAAAGGTTTGCTAGTGGCTTTATTACGACAGTTCACTTCAGTCACAATTGTGTAATTTATCAGCGCTATAAATCGAACCCATAATACATCCAATTAATTGTTAATATATGACTATTTAGTATTACGGTCTAGTAGTATTCCTCTTCACTTGTAAGTGAGAGGTCATATGTTTGATTATCGCCAAATGCAAATTTGAACCACATTATTGCTAGCTCATTGTGAGGTTAAGCCCACCTCCTCCCCCTTAGTGTAGATAATATTGTTTGTTAGAAATAATATTAATATATGACATATTTACTTATTTTAAGTAGATGAATTAAGGCATTGAAATTATGAAAGACAAGGAATGGGGAAAAAATCAATTAGGGATAAGTAGTTACTCCAATTTATGATTTTGAAAATATTTGACAACTAATTATATAATCCATAAGTTGTGTATTAGCAAAAGTGATGAAGCTAGAAACTGGAATTATTTCTTTTTCTTTTTAATACCCTATGCATTTGTTGCACCAGATTATCTCGGATTTGATTAGTTTCAGGGACTAAGCTGGATTGGCTTAGACTAGACTAAGCTGGAATAACTTAGTGAAACGTTTGGTGCAGTGTCGGACTAAAAAACAGAATAATTAATAAACTATAATATTATATTAATTCATGCATATATAGTAATATTTTATATTATTTAATGTTTATATAATAATATTTAATGTTTTTAATGCATATTTATTCCCCTTTTACTTTACTCCAAAAAGACTACCCTCCAAAACCATCTTTTCTTTTCTTCTCCCTCTGGCTCCTCCCCATTTATTCTTTCCTCCATATTTTTCCTGCAAAACGCAGGTGTAAAGTTCATCGCAAATCCTTCAAAACAAGCTCATCCTCTTCACCCTCTTGCCATTGTTAAGCATTTCCACCTTCCTCATCCTTTTTTTTTCCCAAAAATTTTCGGATCTCTCTCTCCTTCCTTTGATACATGCGTTGGCTTCTCCGCCTACAAAGCCCTCTCATAATTTTCTGGCAATGGGTGGATTTTGAATTTTGGGTTGGATTTTGTTGTTGTTATATTTTTGCTTTTTTTCATTTTTTTCATTTTTTTTTACTTTTGTGGTTGGATTTTGAGGTTTGGGCTATAGGTGGAGCTTTGTTTCAAATCTGAGCAGTGATTAAAGGGTGTTGCAGAGGAACGCTTGCAAACGACGCGACGGGCAAACAAAGCAGGTTTGAGGACAGGACTAGCAATCCCATACATATTGGGGTTACTCACTAAGACTACCTAGTGAAAGACTTAGTCGGTGCGAGTTCGACGTAGTCTCATTAATGGTAATCCTTGTTCGCATCAAACACCGGCTAGCAATTCCAGATGAGCCAGTCCAATCCAAGGAAGTTTAGTGAGGGCAAACAAACGCCCCCACAAAACAACTAAGCTTGTTTGTATTTTTTTCTTTCTATTTTTTCAAAACATGTATTAAATTTGAACGTGCCTTCATTTAAAAGAAAAAACTATAAGATGAGGTGAGGAGCTACCTTCTTTTTTTTTAATTATAAATAGGAGCTACCTTTTTTTTTTAATTTTATTTATATTTTTAAGTACGATATTATTTACACTAGGAGGGAAGGGTGAGGTTTGGTCTCATAATGTGCTAGCAATAATGTGATTCAAATTCACCTTTGATGAAAATCGAACTTAAGACTTCTCACTTACAAGTTAAAAGCAATATCATTTTACCGTAGTACTAAGTGGCTGGTAAGGAGCTACTTAATTCATTATTCCAAAAAAATCATCACAAAGTTTTTCTTAATGAAATTGGAGAGACGAATGAGAATAAGATGACTATTTTAAACGCATAACAATTCTCAAGAAAAAAAAGGGTCAAGTAGTAAGTGCGGATAAATACTCAATTTTTAGGGGTTTATTCAAATTGATTTTTAGGGGTTTATTCAAATTGATCTCAACTTTTAAAATTTTTATAAATAACTACCTAATGTTTTAATAATTGACATTTGTCAGCAATGGCGGATCCAGGATTTTAACAATGGGTGGTCCTAATATAAAAGTTCCAGAAAAAAAAATGAAAATAACATAGAAAAATAAATGGCAAACTACAACTTTGACAAAAAATATGTATGAACTAACACTGTAACACAATCTTCTACAAAAAAAAACACTATAACACATTTCAAGTAATATCAGAAAATCCTAACGAATGAACAATAAATATGTATGAACGAACAATAAATATGTATGCACTAACACTAAAATAGATATGAAAAAATCCTAAAAAATTAACAATGAATAAGGTTGAACTTAATTTAAAACCCGTTAGTGTGTAATTGTTTGATTTTTTATCAAAAACCCTTACCAAAAACCAATATCAAAGACCCTTACATATATGTATTCATTGTTCTATCTTTTGTTTTTAATTAGTGTTCTTTAAAAAAAAATTAAAAAAAAAATCCTAACAAATTAACAATAAATATGTATGAACTAACGCTAAAAATAAGTATAAACTAACACTAAACTAAACTAGAAAACTTATAGAAATTCTGAAATTGCTGTTGATGGCGTTTGCTGGCTTGGGTGGCGTGAGGAATAGGAGCGGCATACAATTAGGTATATTATATTTGATAAAGTTGAATTTGATTGAAAGCAGACTAATAAAAAGCCATGGGCTTTTATTAAATTTCAAATTGTTTGACTTTTTAATAAAAGATGGTGAGTGCTATTACGTGAAAGCTCTCTCGTGGATTTTAAATTTTTTGTTAATGACTTGATTCAAAACGACGTCGTTTTGGCCAAATCATTTAAAAAAAATACCTTTCTTCTTCCTCTTGTAGTTTTGCACAGCGCAACAGCCACGGCTGCTGCTCTACTCTACCATTGCCCAGACTTGGGTGGTTCTAGGAGGTTTTCACAACCATTTATCTGAGCTTCCGGGTGGTCCCGAGACCACCTTGATCCCTTAGTAAATCCGCCCCTGCTCGTCAGGTAACCAATGTTAAGTGATAAGGTCACAAGGATTAACTCATGACGTGGACAAATACAATTTATTTTTTCCGTCATTTATGGAACTTTAAATGCCCAAAATCAATGGCTTTGATTCTAAAATTTGCTTGATTAAAAGGGGTGGATTCAGGGACTCATAGCTCCATATATAATGCGACAGTAAAAACCCTCTTTAATACTTTTTTACGTCATAACTTAATGTTAATGACCTAACAGATGTCAATTGGAATCACTCCCGAAGATTGGTTATTAGTTGTGTAGATTATGGAGGCCCAGCCCAATCGTAATTGGGCTTTGATAATTCAAGCAGATCAGAACCACAGCTGTTTTTTTATATTATTTCTCCACGTCAAGGACGAAACAAGCGCCAATACTAGACTGCCACGTCTAACCAGCAAACACCAGCCCTACGATCATCCACGGTGG